AGGTGCGGTTTTCGGCCACGCGATCGTGATCGAATGCTCTAGATGATGGAGAGGGTTTAGGTGGGTTTTGGGCCAAATTAGAGGGGTGTTGGGCTGCAACACACACGAGGCCTTTTCGGTCCCTCGGTTAACCGTTGGAGTATCAAACGAAGTCCAAATGATACGAAACTTGACAGGCGGTCTACCGGTAGTAAACCAAGGCCGCTTGGCAAGTCTCGGTCCAATCCGGAAATGTTTAATCCCCACACACGAAAGAAAGGTAGAAATGACCACCGGAGGAGAACGAAGCGCCGGAATGCAAAACGGACAACGGGGAAAATGCTCGAATGCATGAGACGAACACGTATGCAAATGCAATGCACAAGATGACATGATATGAGATGCATGACAACGACAACAACACACGGAGACAAAGACCCGAACCCGAGAAAATAAAATAACTTAACGCCGGAAACGGCAAGAGTTGGAGTACAAATTGGGAAAGTTACATCCGGGGTGTTACAGAACCAGTCTGTTCAAGTGGGGATGTCGTGGCGGCAACGACATCCTTGTAGTGGACATGTGTCCTCAGGCTCCGTCGTTGCGACGACGATTGTTCCAACGTCGGCACGGACTTGGGAGGTAGTCGGGAGCGGATGCAGATTGTGGTCTGCATCAACGACATCTGGAAGATGAAGCGTGTGTCGGGCTCGTGGTTCGTGGATGGCAGGTATGGTTTCCTCCTTCGATGTCTTAGTCATGTGGGGATGGCAGATGTGGAGTTCGTTGGTGTGTGTTTGGGGTGTTGTCCCAGTCTGATTTGTTCAACGGTAATGGTTTCGTCTTTGGCGAGCCACCTTGGAGGTCCGCAAAGCTGCATATCAGCGATGGAGCCGCGGTGACCTCGAGTGAAAAGGTGACCCGTCATTTTTTCTTTCGGTGGCTGCTATAGTGGTGTCGGAGGCAGGCAACGGGCATTGGTGTCAAGCGCAGAAACGTTTTACTATCTTTTTTAGTTTTGTCATGTCGATCTTTATGTAACATGTACGTTAATCTTTATGATATGAATGAGATATATTACTATGAAAAAAAACTTGGTATCTTTCTTTGTATATTAAGCTCCGTGCCCGACCTTAGACTAGCCACAATGGGAGTAACTTAACTAGTAACATCACACATTTCAATACAAAATTGCTTATGTGGCAGCTAATTAATGAGGAGAGAGGGGTTTGTGATAACTTAGCTATTTACTGTAACATCACACATTTCAAGACATAATGAGTCTATAGCCTAATAAATGAACTTTTTCATGATACCACTCATATGTTACTACCCACTATGGAGGTAGCAACTTAGAGGGTGTTTGTTTTCAGGGACTTATTGGTTTAGGGACTTAAATAAGTCCCTATAAGTCCCATCTAAACCAAACAGGAGAGACTTATAGGGACTTAAAGTGGGCATTTGGGACTTATGAAATAAGACTCTCAAGAAGGGACTTATAGGGACTTATAGTTGTAATATGGTCTTATAGAGACTTATAAGTTCCAGGAACCAAACAGGTAGGAACTTTTTAGGGACTTGGGACTTATAAGTTGGGACTAAAAAAATCCTAGGACTTATGACCCAAACAGGGCCATAGACTACTAACATCGGGAAGTTACTACTCTATATTACTTCCAATTGTGAGCAGTCCTTAGGGCATCTCCAGCCGCGCCCCAGGAAGGCCTCCCCAGGCATTTTTTTTGCGTTGGCGCCGAAAAAACGGCCCAGTCGCGCCCCCAGGAGCCCGATTCTCGCCGGCCTGGGCCGAAAACAGTGCCGGCGGACCCAGGCCGAACCTGGCGCGCTGGGGGGCGCTCGGGGGCGTCGGGGCGAACTATTTTGGCGCGAAAAAGCCACGGGCCAGCCGTGTCAGGGACACGGCGGCTCGTCTTCCCCCAACTACCTCGGTTCCCGCAGGGAATCAATGGCAAGGCTGCCGCCGGTCAGCCTTGCCGTTGATTCCTCACGGGCGGCACGTCACGAGACGGCGAGCCGACGCCTCCCCTCCCTCACACGCGTACACACGGGCACAGAGCGGCTATAAAAGCCGGCGGTCTTTCGCCTGTGCCCACACCAGACTCGCCCCTCGCCGCCGCCCAGCCCCTCTCTCTCCATCTCCGTCTTCCTCTCCCGAGCGCCACTGGCAGCCCCTTGTTGGGGAATGTAGTAATTTCAAAAAATTTCCTACGCACACGCAAGATCATGGTGATGCATAGCAACGAGAGGGGGAGAGTGTGATCTACGTACCCTTGTAGATCGACAATGGAAGCGTTAACTTGGATGGTGTAGTCATACGTCTCCACGGCCCGACCGATCAAGCACCGAAACTACGGCACCTCCGAGTTCTAGCACACGTTCAGCTCGATGACGATCCTCGGACTCCGATCCAGCAAAGTGTCGGGGAAGAGTTCCATCAGCATGACGGCGTGGTGACGATCTTGATGTTCTACTGTCGCAGGGCTTCGCCTAAGCACCGCTACAATATTATCGAGGACTATGGTGGAAGGGGGCACCGCACACGGCTAAGAATATGATCACGTGGATCAACTTGTGTGTCTAGGGGTGCCCCTTTCCTTCGTATATAAAGGATCCAAGGGGGGGGGGTGCGGCCGGCCCTAATAGGAGGCGCGCAGGAGCAGTCCTACTCCTACCAGGAGTAGGACTCCCCTCCCTTTCCTTGTCCAAGTAGGAGAGGGGGAAGGAGAGAAGGAAAAAGGGGGGGGGGCGCCGCCCCTCCCTCCTTGTCCAATTCGGACTAGGGGGAGAGGGGGCGCGCGGCCTGCCCTGGCAGCCCCTCCTCTTCTCCACTTTAGGCCCATGAGGCCCATTAAACCCCCGGGGGGTTCCGGTAACCCCCCGGTGCTCCGGTTTTATCCGAAACTTCCCCGGAACACTTCCGTGTCCGAATATAGCCGTCTAATATATCAATCTTTATGTCTCGACCATTCCTCGTTATGTCCGTGATCACATCCGAGACTCCGAACTAACTTCAGTACATCAAAACTCATAAACTCATAATATAACTGTCATCGAAACCTTAAGCGTGCGGACCCTACGGGTTCGAGAACAATGTAGACATGACCGAGACACGTCTCCGGTCAATAACCAATAGCGGAACCTGGATGCTCATATTGGCTCCTACATATTCTACGAAGATCTTTTATCGGTCAGACCGCATAACAACATACGTTGTTCCCTTTGTCATCGGTATGTTATTTGCCCGAGATTCGATCGTCGGTATCCCATACCTAGTTCAATCTCGTTACCGGCAAGTCTCTTTACTCGTTTCGTAATACATCATCTCACAACTAACTCATTAGTTGCAATGCTTCCAAGGCTTATGTGATGTGTATTACCGAGAGGGCCCAGAGATACCTCTCCGACAATCGGAGTGACAAATCCTAATCTCGAAATACGCCAACCCAACATGTACCTTTGGAGACACCTGTAGAGCACCTTTATAATCACCCAGTTACGTTGTGACGTTTGGTAGCACACAAAGTGTTCCTCTGGCAAACGGGAGTTGCATAATCTCATAGTCATAGGAACATGTATAAGTCATGAAGAAAGCAATAGCAACATACTAAACGATCGGGTGCTAAACTAATGGAATGAGTCATGTCAATTAGATCATTCACCTAATGATGTGATCCCGTTAAGCAAATAACAACTCTTTGTCCATGGTTAGGAAACATAACCATCTTTGATTAACGAGCTAGTCAAGTAGAGGAATACTAGTGACACTCTGTTTGTCTATGTATTCACACATGTATTATGTTTCCGGTTAATACAATTCTAGCATGAATAATAAACATTTATCATGATATAATGAAATAAATAATAACTTCATTATTGCCTCTAGGGCATATTTCCTTCACCCCTCTCTCTCCCTCTCTACCACCGCCGAACCCGTCGCCATGGTAGAGCGCTTCCCCGGAGACAAGGCGGCGGCGAACGGTTTCGGCCGCCGTTCGCTCCGCGAACAGGAGTCCTGGCTCCTGTTCCAGGCGAACATCCCGGCGCCGCCAGACATGCGCGCCGGGCCGACGGGGTGGCGGCTCAGCGACCAGGGAGTGCCCGTTCCCCCGTTACCCGACGCCATGGCGAAGCCCAGGTACTTCGCCGAGGAGGTCGAGGTCGCGCGCGCCTCCCTGACCGACGGCGAGCGCTCCCTCCCCCAGTCGGTCGGCGCACTCGCAGCGTCGGCATCGTCATCAACGAGGGCGGCCGGCGCGCCTCCTCCTCGTCGGCTCCTCCGCGCTTCGTCAAGCCAAAGATGAAGCCGGGGCTGGCGCCGGTGAAGGCGGAGTTCGACGACGACGACGCGGCCCTAGAATGGGCGCGCCAGGACTCCATTGCGATGGAAAATGCGCGCCGGGAGAAGAAGAAGGAGTGCCAGCGCGCCGCCCTGCGCCGCTTCGAGGAGCGCCGACGCGGCCGCGATGAAGACGGGGGTCGTCGTCTTATGCGACAGCGACGAGGACGACGACGCGCCGCCGCCAGTCCGCCATGGCGACGCCGGGCAGGGGTCCAGCAGAGGCGCCCGCGTCGAGGAGGAGAAGGCCGACGACGACGATGGCGGCGACGGCGGCGACGACTTCAGCCCCTTTTTTTAGATTAGGTTAATGTAATGAAAATGCGTGAATTTCACCGAAATTTGCTATGTTTGACCGAAATTTAACTAGTTTTTATTATAACTTTGCCGAACGGCTCTTCTTTTTTTATTTTAATACGCGCCTGGGGCCAATGGCTGAGGACCGACTTACTCCATGGTCATTTTTTGCACCGGCTCATCCTAGACGGCGCTTTTACACGTCCCTGAGGGCCAAGGGCTGGAGATGCCCTTACAGGTCGCAAAGTCGGGCCGCACCAACAGCGGAAACAAGACAACTCGGGTCACCCACCGTTTCCTTCAATCGGAAGAGAGCTATACGGAAAAGGAGCCGCCAGGGAGAAGAAACAGAACGGAGCGAGGAGCCATGGCCGCCAGGAATTTCTTAGTCCGATCCCCCAAGGAGGAGGAATCCAGCGCTGCCGTCCGAGGTACCCCAAAGACCCTCTCGCTCTTCCTCTCTCAGTTCCACCACCGGGCCACACCATCGCAGATCCATCGGGAAACCAAGGCGGAACGCGGTTGTTTGGTCCAACCGGATGGATAGATTCTTGTTCTTGCGCTATGGTAGGTGGACATGGGGTCTCGTGTCTGCCTGGATTCCCTGATGCGTGATTTCTGCTCTCAGTGTGGGAAGCGGAAGATGATTCCTGGATTCCCTGATGCGTTATCTTGTTGCAGAGGCTGTCTTGTTGGGAGGGAAGAACGCCGCCATTGCTGGTACTGTGGTTGCGGTTCCCACGGTGCGTATTTGTGTGCTGAATTCTTGTGTGCATACTTGCATATATTCTGACCTCTGTTAAATTTAATTTTGTGCAGTTGGTTGCTTGCCGTGTCCTTCCTTGGGCTAAGCATAATCTGAACTACACCGCACAAGCACTCATCATATCGGCAGGTACTATGCTACTCAAAACTGTCTTTGCCGAGCTAGTGTAGTTCTGGCTGTAGTCTACTTTCATGCACTGGCAACATCATATAGACCTTATTTTGCATACAACAATATCATATTGTCCCCTTATTCAGTTATGTGCATGGCCATATATCTTCTTATGCCACCTGGCCCTGTTTTCACAAACAATGCTAGTCTTCAATAATTTTCAATGCACCGGTTCTCTATGATTGACATACACTTTTCTTTGTTCATTTTTTTGACCAATCTCATGCACTTTGGCAGCTTCGGGGTGCAGATTATGTTTCCAGTTTATCATTTTACTGCTGTTTCCTGTGTGTGTGTGTGTATAATTATCTACTCTAGATTGGATTAACTTTACATATCCTGTTAGAGTGGCTCATCATGTTGATGTAAAACATAACATTCACGTCCAGCAAAAAACATTCTGCAATTCTTTCATGGTTGACTCTTTTACACGCGCATATCTATATTTATACCAATATAAAAATACCCAAGGGGCAGATCCAACTAATCTCGGCCATCAAATCAGGTCAATCCAACGATCTAGATTGCTTCAATGGTGAGCGCTCAACATTTTTAACATGCAACCAATATCATACCAAATATAAACATCAGCGCTAATCACATAATTGACGCGCAAATAATATCCTATCTAATATCCCCATGTAATAAATATACAGGCTAATATCAACGTGCATTGCTACACATTTACTAGTACTAACAAAAGGTGAGATATTGGATTTAACTCTTTAATTTGTGAAGCTTTTACTTTTGTAAAGAAAATTCCGTTGGCTACTGTCATTATCTTGTGCTGACCAGTGAGGAGTAAGATGGGTGAAATAATAGTATGCATTTTCTGAGCATATCACCTTATATAGTGGGCATATTAACCGAGAATCGGAGTCCCAAACCAAAGAACCATGACCAAAACCGAACATCTCGTTACCAGATTTGGTCATCACTTTTGGTGAACCAAAATTAGTTAGGCTTTGTTTTGATGTAGATATTCTACCCCAGGTATTGAACTAGGTTGCAATACCAATTCAACCAAGGCAAGATTTTTTTTAATTTACATGTATTGGGAGTTGGAATCTTAGGAGAGCGATTGTCAATTGCACATTAGTGGTACTAGGCCTGGTCAAGCCCATTCTAAGCTTGCCATCTTCTCTGTCTCTCTCCCGTACACTACTCTCTCTCCTTGGTACAGAACGATGCAGCTGCCCTGATACCGGGCAAGCCGCTAGGGTGGCTCGATCTTCACGAATTGGAGGTCGATTTGAGAAGCAACACAAGAATCAAGGGCGAAAAAGGGAAACCAAGATGAAAATCATTCAAAGGACAAGATCCACTCCAATTACTCCTCAAAACGCAAGTCAATCTAAGAGATGCATCTTAGATCCAAGAACAACAAGGATAGTTCTTCTCCAAATCTCTAGCAGAGTTGGAGGTCTTGAGATAGTTCTTCCAACTTCTAAGATGTTGAGGTTTTGAAATCCATAGGATTCTTCCCCAATGAGGAAGCCTTGATCCTACTAAGAGGATATAGATTGAGCAAAGCTCCCTCAAGTTTTACTCTATGCTTAGCTAACCCTAGAAAAAGGAGGTACACAATATATAGGTAATAGGGAAGAGAGAAGGGAGGGGTACAAGGAACATTTCCCATCATTTGCACACCGACAAGACCAGGGCCACAGGGTACACTATGGACACGGGGACCTGGGGGTTATGGAACCTGTAGACCTAGTATCTAGAAAGTTGGTCGGCAGGGGGTCGTGGACCTGGGGGTTTGGAGGCCGGGACCCGAGGTATCTAGAGAATTTCTCCTGGTGGCCAGGGCCTCGGGGTGTCCAGAGGCTTTTCCAGTTTTGGATCTTTGGGCTCCAGCTTCTTCTCTTTGCTCCTCCTCATGGACTTTGCAATCCTTTGTCACTTCTCCGTGGTGGTCATCATCATGCCTAATCAAACACAAGGTTCCACTCTTGAGGTAGTAGCCATGCCTCATCCAAATGCATAGGGAGCTCAAGTAGGAGTGAACCCACCTTGGCTTCAATGGCTTTTGCACGACATATATTGTCATTGGTCCACTTGGCCTTGGCCTTGAACCTTGGTCTATCATTCCCAGCCATACTCGGTGATACCATCAAATTCCCCTACCTAATCCCCTCAGCTGCTACAGCCATCGCCCCTAGAACTGCCCCAAAAGCAGCTCCTCTCCATCATCTTTGATTATTCCACCAAGAAGTCCAAAGAGACTGCATCGTAAGGCATCGAGGATGAGGTGCCCGAGGACCTATTTGTGGATGCCATCGATTCTGGAGGAGAGAGAGATCAAGGGTTGTGCATGTGGGGGCGCAGTTGCCGTCGTCAAGCACCTTGGATGCACCCTGACGATGTAAGGAGGAACACCCGAGTATAGTCAAGGAGGAACACCCGAGTATAGTCAAGGAGGATGAATAAGGCCAAATAACCATGGGGTAGGCCAGGCCCATGACTTGAGTCTTCCTAGAAGATTTGGGCGGGTCACCATCTTATAGCACAAGAAAAGTCATCTACGGATCCAGAACTGGTTGGCCACCCATTTGTAAATCAACCTGGACCATGATGTGCAAGACTCTCGAGACAAGATGCCAAGTCTGTCACAACCTGGAGGGAGACAACCTCACCGCCATCGCCGACAACAACGACTGTCGCATCAACAAGCCCCATCGTTCCCCGAGTCCTCCTGGCACGACATACGTTGGGTCGAAGATGTTTGGCTCCTGTATCCATGTTGCAGTACTTGTCGGTGTATTAAGAATTGGGTCTTTGATACCCCAGACTTATGCACATGCAGTAGTAGCCTTCCCGAGTCCCGACGACAAGGCTTGCCGGAGGATAACTAAAGCTAAAACTCAAGATCAGATTACAAGCATACAAAGGAGATCTCCGAGCTAGAGATTAGAAATATTGAAGATATGGCTCGAGGACCCAGAAAGATCCTTGCTGGGGAGAACCCATGAAGATTCAAGCCTGGCAAGCTCCGAGCTTGGCAAGAATATCATCACCTTGCCACTGCCCCACCTCGATCAGGTTGTCACTTGTCGATTAGGTGTCGAGTGGGCAGGTAGTTAGGTGAGCTTTGTCAGCGGGCTGAGCTCTTCGTTGGCGGCCTACCGGACCACATCCGCGTGGACGTGGAGATGCGCGGGCCACAGGGCCTCCAGACGGCCATGTACTACGCCCGTGCGTTCGAGCGTCGCGCAGTAGCCATCCAGCAGGCGCCACCGCCCCGGGCCGCTGGGCCGCCACCCTGGTCGGAAGTTTCCGCGCAGGGTTGGCCTGCCTAGGCTTCCGCGGCGCGCCCGTTCCGCCGGCTCACCCCGGCTGAGCAACTCGAGCGTTGCCGCCAAGGGTTGTGCTTCAACTGCGACAAGCCCTACATATCAGGCCACGTCTGCCCACGACTCTTCTACCTGGAGGCTGCAGACTACATTGAGGAGGACCCCGCCGCCGTCGGGCTCGGCGACCAGCCCGCCCCAGTTGACGCAGAGGTGATTAGTGATCGTTGATCTTCCCCGCCTTCCAGTTCGAGGACGAGCTGTTTGTGCAGGCGGGGAGAGATGTTATGACCGGCATATTAGGGGCTTAGCCCAGTCAGTTGTGGCCTAGTTTATCTTATCGTTATTAGGGGCTTAGCCCAATTATCTTATTAGGAGGATTATATAAACTCGTGTAAGGACCCGTTTTCGGATTAAGCAAGAAGCAATCATATTTGCTCGGCTTCCTTAGGGAGCCGGGAGACCTAACCCTAACCGCCGCCCTGCTCTCTCTCTCTCGCGCACGCACGCAATGACGGCGCCCCAGCGCCGGTGACAACGCCTTCCTCCACGTCATCCCTCCTTCCACCCCTACAACCTGAGACCACGCCCTGGTAGGGATCCTGTTCCTACCAGTAGTTGCAAGCAGGAGCATCACCACTAGCAAGCCTAGCAAACAAATGAGACCGTCGCAACACATTGATATCATTGAGAGTGCCCGGCATGCCAAAAAAAGCAATGCCAAATCCATAAATCCTCGGATGCTACGGCCTCTAGCACAATTGTTGCATCACGAGACTTGCCACAATACATTCCCTGCCATGCCTTCGGGCAATCAAGTCCAATGCATACAATCAATGCTACCTAGCATGCCAGGCCAACCTCTCCTCTCATTAGATGCCATCAATTTTTTTTGTGTCATCCTCGTTGGGTGCCCGAAGATATTCAGGACCAAAGACACGGATGATCACTTTGGCAAACCTACGCACTAACTAAATTGTGGTATCTTCACCAATGAGAAGGTACTCATCAGCATAGTCAGCCGGAACATCATATGCAATCATCCGCATAGCTGCCAAGATTTTCTGATATGCACTAAATCCCTTCAAGCCCGCGACATTTCTTCTTTGAGTAAAATATCGACAATTTGCCTCGCAAGCTTGAACAATTTTCACAAAGAGAGATCGGTGCATTCGGTACCTTCTCCGGAAGAGGTGTGGTGGATATGTTGGATTCTCCGCGAAGTAGTCTTGCATCAACATCTCGTTCTCGAGATGGCGATTTCGAGGAATGCAAAGACGCCCGACGGTCGATCCTCGCCGCCTCTTTCGGTTCTCGTCTTCGTGCTCCTTCACGGCAAGCACCATCACCAACGTCTGTTGCCGATAGTTTGCAAGCAGCGTCTCAACATCCGAGTCGTTCGAATCGGACGAATCATCGAGCAAAAACTTCTTGCACGGGCTCAATTCCATCTACATGAACAAAAATCGCACGCCGCGTTAATCAACTATGCATAGCGCTCGGCACAAAGCACAATCAAACACTCACCAGTGGGGCGGGCGATCTCGGGCGACTCAAGGGCGGTCGATCCCCGGCGACGACGACGACCAAGGGCGGGCTCGTCTCGCCGGATCCCGGGGGGGTGCAGCGTATCGGTGGTCGAGGATGGGGGACGCCCCCGCGGCGTGATTCCGCCCATAGATTTGGCCGGAATCGGTGGCGGCAGACGGGTAAAACCAATGGCGGGTGGCGGCGGAAAGGGGTGAGGAAAGGGGGCGGGCTGAAATGTCCCTCCCGCCAACCGCTTTCTTGTGATACGGGGCACCGTAGGGCGAGGCGAAAACCTGCGTATTCGCGGTTGGGGTCAAGATTTTGCCACGCCCCTTAAAATTTTTTGTGGGCTGGCCGCG